CCGCAGGTGTTATGGGATATGTGTAAATGTCTTATTAGGGAAGCAACAATTAGTTTTAGTAAAGAACATGCAGCAAAGGTAAAATCAAAATATAAAGCAACTGAATATGAACTAAAAATAGCACAGTCAAGGCTCTCATGTGAGACTAACCATGATAATATAGAGCGTGTTAATAAACTTCAAATGCAATATGATTTAGAAACACAAAAAAAGACAGCTGGGGCACAAATCAGATCAAAGGTAAAATGGATAGAGCAGGGGGAAAAGAATTCAAAGTATTTTTTGGCATTAGAAAAGGTTAGGGGTAAAATGAAATCAATTGATGAATTGGTAGTTAATGATAGAAGGTCAAACTCAACAGAAGATGTAATGTCCATGTTATATGAGTATTATTCTGAAATGTATGAAGAAAATGAAGAGGTAATATATACTCTAGATGATTTTTCAAATGATTTACAAATTCCCATGTTAAATGAGAATGAGCAAATGACATGTGAAGGGATGATTTTAGAAACAGAGTGTACAAAGGCCCTGAAAAACATGAAAAATGATACTAGTCCGGGAATAGATGGGCTTACGCCTGCCTTCTATAAAGTGTTTTGGTTAAAGGTAAAAGCTCTTATCATTAACTCATTGAATTTCGGCTTTGAAAGTGGACAATGGTCAAGTAGCCAAAGACAAGGCATTATAATTTTATTAATTAAGGGACAAAACCTACCTAGAAACAATTTAAAGAATTTTAGACCAATTTCCTTGACATGTATAGACTATAAGCTTGGGGCATCAGTTTTAGCAAATCGAATACAGCAAGTCATTCAAATCTTAGTAAACTCAGATCAAAACTCTTATATGAAAGAACGGGGAATTCATTTAAATTTAAGATTAATAGATGATGTCATGAATTATATCAATAATGATAATTTACAAGGAATAATGGTTGCTTTTGATTATTCTAAGGCTTTTGATTCAATGTCTAAAAAGTATGTTTTTGATGTAATAAAAAAGTTTAATTTTGGTCCACAACTTCTCAAATGGATAAAGGTCTTTAACAAAAACACAACATCTACAGTTACAAATAATGGTTATTTCACAAAAGATTTTGTATTAAAAAGAGGTTTAAGACAAGGCTGTCCTCTCAGTGCTCTACTTTTCATACTTGGAACTGAAATATTTGCAAACAGAATCAGACAAAATCAAAATATAAAGGGAATTAAAATACATAATACTGGAAAAGAAGTAAAAATCACTAGCTACGCTGATGATACAACTGCATTCTTAGATTCAACTGAATCACTAAGAAATTATCTTTTAGAGGCAGAACACTTTTATAAAACATCTGGTTTGAAATTAAATAAAGAAAAAACGAAAGCTATGTGGCTAGGTAAGGAAAGGGATAATAATGATAAACCTCTGGGAATAAAATGGGAACTTGGAAAAAATGCTGAGATAAAGATTTTAGGGGTTTACAATAAACAAGCTTGTTTAATTAATGAAAATTGGAGTGAAAAAATTGACAAAATGGAAAACATAATCAGAAATTGGAGTAAAAGAAATTTGTCTTTTTTGGTTAAAGTATGTGTAGCTAAAAGTCTTATATCATCCCAAATCAATCACATGCTGATGGTATTCAAAGCACCAGACAACTACCTTAAAAGATCAACACACTATTGTATAAAATTTGGCAAAAAGCTGGAAAGGGAATAGAAAAGATTCAAAGAAAAATTTTATCTCAGGATACTGCACTTGGTGGAATTAAAATGGTAGATATATTTTGTGTCAGGAGTCATTAGTCCTATCCTGGATTAAAAGATTTTTAAGTAAAGAGGAATCTCATTGGAAGGAATTAAGTAAGTTATTTTTTCATAAAGTTGGTCATAATTTTGATATATTCTTATACAACACTACTTTAGGCTCTATAAAACCTCAAATCAAAATTGAAAAATTGCCAGATTTTTACCAGTACTTACTTAAAACATGGTTTAATAGAAAAGTTCCAAGTAGTCATATCTATGAAAACGATATTTTATGGAATAATAAAAATATAACATACAAAAGTAACTGTATATTCTTTAATTTATGGAAAACAACAGGGATTAACTCAGTATCTGATGTGTTAGACGATCAACTAAAATTAAAAAATATTGAGTATTTCTTAGGTATTATGCCAAATAACCCTGGTGTTATGCTTGAATTTAATATTGTAAATAATGCTTTGAAAAATAGGGTGATATATAAAATGATGAAAAATAAACATGGAATTAAGCAGATGGATATACAGGGTGTCAAATAAGTCCCGTCCCCCCCTCTACAGCCAAAACCAAGATATGTGGTACCAAGTGTTATATATCATTGGAAAGATTGTCCAAAGTTAAGTTGATTGGCACATATCTGATACCTGTCAATCATTGTCACAAATTGCTACATTGTATCAAATGAGGTGACCAAAGACCTAAAAACAAGGCAATTTGGCTTATTTGGCAGGATTTTTAGAATCGGGCATTAGAGAAATCAAATGAGCTCAAGATGACAATTAAGTATATGGTGGTGAATTTAACCCATTTCTGGATTGGGTAAGATGTGTAGAAAATAGAGGGGCAAGGATAGTGGTGGAAACTTGTTTGTAACAAGTGGAATGTGAAAAATATTAACTTTTTGACACATTTTTGAGGCCATTTCCTTCTCATTTTTACGCAATAAATGCTGCTGTAGGAGGGCTCACTCACTATTAAAGACATCATAAAAATAAAGGTAAATTTTATCCAAAATACTTGAGAGTATGTGAGTTAACGTAACTTTGGATGATCTTTCCAATGGTATATCACACTAGGTACCATCTATTAAGGGTTTAGCTGTAGAGGGGGGGGACAGGACTTATTTGACACCCTGTACACAATGCAAGAGCAAGGGACTTTAAGAATATGATTCTTAAAACAACATCTGTTACACCAAAATGTGTGGAAATTTGGAATACTGAATTTAATGATTTGAATTGGGGAAAAATTTGGGAAATGGTGAAAAATATCAAAGATACGAGAATTAAAAGTTTAGTTTATAAAATTATTCACCGTGTATATCCAACTCAAATACATTTATATAATTGGAAAATAAATACGGTATCAAGAAACTGTAAAAGTTGCTTAGATGAAAATGATACATATGAACACTTTTTCGTAAAATATAAGAAAGTCAAAAATTTGTGGAAAGAAATAGAAACAAGATTAAAGATTAAGTTTGGTAAATGTATTAGAATAAATGAGAGACATATATTGTTGATGTATGAACACAAAAATAAATTTGAAGAATATTATTGTAACTTAGTCATTCAAATAGCGAAACTGTGCATCTCCAAATTTAAATATGGTGAACATCCCAATTTGCTAACGCTATTTGAATTTGAAATAAGATTACGAAATGTAATGGTATGAGAAATGTTTGTTAAAATTATATTATGTATGTATGAAATAAGTTGAAATAAAAAAAATAAAAAAATAAAAAAAAATAAATAAAAAAAAATAAAAAAAGTCTTTATATTTCAAAATGCGTATGCTATAATTGCCAGAGTTTTATACATAAGAAATAGTAAAACCTGTGTACAGTGAACACCAATATGGAGCCACAAAAATTTGTTCATTGTAGGTAATTATTTACTACATAGAGGCGATCTTACAGAAGTCAATGGAGTATGTGCTGAGAAGGGGTATTCACTAGACACAGGTGTCCACTTGAGAGAGTTGTTCTCTAAGACAGGTTTCACTGACTGTAGTTTGATTGTGTTTCTAGAAAAATAATATGGGATAAAAGCTTACTTATGTATTGCACAAGTGTAATGCATGCGCAACCAATCAAATCATATCAATTATTGGATTTCTATCAATTTCAGTCAATCAATGTCAAAAACTAGCGCCAGTGTCCTTTTAAATTTCGCACCAAAATACACTCTAGACTTGCGATCGCAACTTACGTTTTAATTGTTTTGCGATTGCTTTGCATCTGCGATTGCGCTTAATTGATAATATCACGCATCGCAGACGCAACGCAACTATTTGCGACCAGATGATAATGAGGCCTCAGATCTAGGATTGGGTACCGGCTTACGGACAACTCATCCCCTAGACAACTCATCCCTGGACAACTCATCCCCTAGACAACTCATCCCCTAGACGACTCATCCCCTGGACGACTCATCCCCTAGACAACTCATCCCCTGGACAACTCATCCCCTAGACAACTCATCCCCTGGGCAACTCATCCCCTGGACAACTCATCCTTTATCACATTTAGCTAAATTGAAAAGTGTTTCTGGAAAAGAAATATTGAATAGATACACTTTGGATCATTCAAAATTTTATTTTTCCCTTTATTGACACAAAATTATGAAAGTACCTATTCGTTACCAGTAAAACTCATCTCTACTTATATTACATGACCCAATTTCATGACAAAAATATAGTTTTCATTTTCTATAACTTGGCAACGTGGACTTCATCTGTGAATGCTGTGAAAAGATAATCTTTGGATTAAAGAATATTTAAGCCACAAACAGCAAACATAATATTATGACATCAAATGAGCTTCTTTAACCAATTTTAATGTAATTAAAAGTAAATATTTACAAAACAAATTCACAGATGTACCATAATTTTTTTTAATAATTTTATATGTTTATGCAGTGCCAGTGTCCCATGTCAGGATAATTACAAGGTTTTAGAAATAATTCAGATGACTTGCATCGGATATACTGTATGTTGCGGGAAAATTTAAAAAATACTTTGCAGTAAATCTTTCAATGCATATTATTTAGAATACGCACAAAGCTAGTTTATTATGAAATGAAGGGATAAGCAATATACCAAATGACATATATTTGAGTGAGATATAATCCAGATGTTTGTTATGCTTATTAATAAAAACACTGACATATATTTAGACATTTTGAGCAAATTTAGGAAAGGATTAAACATTTTGAAAAAGATTAAGGAAAGCACTAGACATTTTGAGCAAGATTAGGGAAGGCATTAGACATTTTGAGCAAGATTTAGGAAGGCATTAGAAATTTTGAGCAAGATTTAGGAAAACATTAGACATTTTGAGCAAGATAAGGGAAGGCATTAGACATTTTGAGCAAGATTTAGGAAGGCATTAGAAATTTTGAGCAAGATTTAGGAAAACATTAGACATTTTGAGCAAGATTAGGGAAGGCAGAATGACTGGCATTTGAGAACAGGATTAACAGAAACTGCTATTTAAGGCAGGAAGAATGTTTCCAAGTCAGTTTCGACTTCAATTATTATAGCAACAATACATATAGTAATCTACTTCTACTACTAAAGAGGCCAAGTGATCCAGATAGTCAACAACAGGATGCCGGCGCCATCCAGGCCATGTATAGAGTGCAAGAGGACAGTTCGTCCAAAGCAAGACTCTCTGACCTGTGCAGTATGCTCTGGAAGACAACACAGAACTTGCAGTCCTCTATTTTCAAGAGAAGAGTATTGGTCCATGAAGCGTAATGGGGACCTTATCATGTGGAGATGCAACAATTGTCAACACCGCAACCTAGAGGACCTGCTTAATAGTGCCAGTGAAATTTCACAGGGGACAAATTCATCAATAGGAGTTCCTGCCGCAGAGAGCACTGCGATTCAACATGAATTGGGTGAGACCCATGTCACACCACCATCCCTGCAAGAATATAGCGTACAAATCCGGAACATTACAGAGCCAATGGAAGCCTCGTTTAATGTTGACAGACCATTTGATGTGCCGGATAGGGATCAAGCTGATACGTTAATGGAGGATCAGCTGCCTGATAATGTCGCCCCTGTCGAACCAGTTGCAGTGACATATGAAGTCATCTGCCAAGCTTCACAGCGGGGCAATCAAAAGCTTGTGGATTCTACAGGATATACATACACCGTTAAAGCCAAGACTGACTCTCGTATTTCCTGGCGATGCAGTATTCGTAACAAGATTACCCTTTGTCCAGCTAGGGTCACCCAGCGTGGGTCATCATTTACCAGAGGCCCACAGCTTCACATCCATGAGCCGAATATGGATGCTGTAAGTCGCATCAAGGTTGTTCTTGATGTGAAAAAGACAGCTAAGGAATCTATGTACAGATCTGCTTCAAACATCGTGGAGGATGTACTCGTGAGGGATGAAAGGGATATTCCAGCCAACAACCAACTTATCCCTGATAATCTTGTCAGGATGGCCAATCGGGCCCGACACAGCTTCGACCAACTGAGCCAACAGATCTCAACTTTGAAGTTGCTGAACACTTCCTACCCCCTGGATTCCTCCAGCAGGATATTGCAATGGTCGATGGCGCATGTCATCTCATCTTTGCGAAAGAAAATCAGCTGGATCTCTTGGCTAAGGCCAAGGTTTGGTATATGGATGGTACCTTCAAGATCGTAAGTGACCCCTTCAGCCAACTCTTCTCAATCCATGCCTTCATCAAGGGGGAAGATGGTGACATCAAGCAGGAACCTCTTGTTTGTGTCCTGATGTCTCGACGTAGGAAACGGGATTACAAGGCAGTTTTGAGGGCGGTCATCGATCTGATCCCTAGTCTTGGATTAGTAAAGGCAGTTGCGGACTTCGAGGCTGGTCTTTGGGGAGCAATGCGCAGGGAATTCCCTGACGATGTACAGCTCTCTGGCTGTGTGTTCCACTGGGCACAGGCTGTTTGGAGGAAGATCCAGGAACATGGCCTGCAGGTAGCATACACATCTGATAGCCATCCACAAGTTCATCAGACAACTGTTTGCCTTGCCATACCTACCATATGAGCACATCCCAACAGCGTTTGCCAACCTTGCTGAGAGAGCGACACCTCTTCTTCAGCCCATCATGGATTACATCGATGATACATGGATTACTTCAACCATCTGGCCACCTTCAACATGGAGCGTATTCAATCAAGTGATCCGGACAAATAATGATGTTGAGGGGTGGCATCGCAGGATCAACGGGAGAGCAGGTCGATCACAGTTGCCAATGTACGTGCTGATACCCCTTCTGCACGATGAAGCAAGGCTTGTTGACCTACACACCAAATTAGTGAAGGAAGGCAAACTCCGCCGTTTCCAACGCCGTCGTTACAAAAACATTCAAGGACGACTTGACAGGATCTGGGAGAGATACCAAGAGGGGGAAATAACAACGGAACACCTGTTGAAGTCTTGCGGTAAGATCGCTGCCCCAACTGCTTCATAGAATATATGGAATAATCTGTGTAACACTGAGTGAACATTGACTACAATTCTGGTGAATTATAAACAGTGGTTCTAATGATACTGTGAAACTGGTGTAGAATGAACTGTATACTTTATGTTGTACATTACAACTTAAAAAAAACTATTAGAACATTCAATTTTTCAATATTATATACTGTAGGGGTATATAATGTAATGTATATATTGTAACTCTTACATAGCTGTTAATAAGTTGTATAAACAATAGAAATACAACATTTTTGAACCTTCACTTTATTTTATGTTTGCTTTTTTCAAAGTAAAGTTGATCAAGTTTAGCTTAAACAAATGGCATTTCTGATTGCAATCAATCAATCTCCTATAAATCTCCTATGAAGCTATCTCTGATCATTAAAGGGTTCCGATTAGCATCCCGTATAAAAACAATATGGCGGCTCCAGGCGAATCAACTGGATCAGTCCATTTTTAAGAAATAAGGGGAGTTCTGTAAAATCCAGTTTATTGAAATTGTCTTTGAGATAAAGAAATCCGTTTATAATGATTTTGAAAACGTTATCCAAAGAGTGATTGCGTTCAAAGAATAGATGTACAACAGCCAATATAAATCCTTAGAAACCGGTTTGTCTTGCTTTGTTTCATTTGTAGGATATTTCATATGCCAAGCTGTGTGCTATTACGTTATGGGGAAATTTAGATGCCAATTTTTCCTTATTATACACAAATAGAAGATCCTGAAACTTCACCCATAAATGTGGAATTGATTTGTCAAAATAAAAATCACCCTTTTATAAATGTGTGACGATCTATAATATACTTATGCTATATAACAGTTAGAGGTGTTGACACAACGACCTCGAACCTGTGAACCCTTGAGTATTATTCCGGGATCGGGCCTTTTATACTAAACGGTGAGCAACACTAGAAACGAGCGTTCGATTTGCTAAACGATATGCGTCACCCTTTAAAACACTGCTAAAACAGATTATATAATAATTAGGGTATTATCTAAAACATTAAGTATAATTTCCAGATTACCCCTCTAGAAAGCCTTTGTTCATGTATTATATGTTTTTGACACTTGAAATATTAAACGTGAAAAAATCATTTCAATATCAAATATGAATTGATAATATAATATTTAATTTCTCAAACATGACAAAGGATGAGTTGTCCAGGGGATGAGTAGTCCAGGGGATGAGTTGTCTAGGGGATGAGTTGTCCAGGGGATGAGTTGTCCAGGGGATGAGTTGTCTAGGGGATGAGTTGTCCAGGGGATGAGTTGTCTAGGGGATGAGTTGTCCAGGGGATGAGTTGTCTAGGGAATGAGTTGTCCAGGGATGAGTTGTCTAGGGGATGAGTTGTCCGGTTACCGGCACAGAAATATACGTGGATTATATTAGTTGCAGTCTAGAGGCGCCTTGGAGACACCTTGCAGAGTTGCAGTTTGTGAGTGTTTATCGATTTATGTTGATCCTTTCTCTGATAGATTTGATGTATTGATCCATCAATTCAGCGTAGCCATTTTGTGACTTCATTTCTTCTTCTTCGTCTTCTTTCCATAATTCATTGCGTGTCCGCCATCTTGGATGACTTCAGGGAGGCGTGTCACTCTGGTCTAATCTCAGTTTACTGATTGACATTCCTGAGTTATCTCGCCCAGAGCTGTTGTGATCTTGTTGAGAGACGTACTTACTCCCACATATATGTGTGAGTTGGGTCTAATCTTATCCTTGATTGATATTCCCGACTCATCTCACCAGAGTGGTGATCCGGAGCAAGAGGAGCTCCCATTGACGTGTGTTGACTGCTCCCAGGAGAGGGACAACTCTGAGAGAGAGTGTGTTCCTATTGATGAGAGTTGGCTACTTCTGAGAGGTGACGACTTAGAGCAAGCGTTCTTCTATTGAGGTAGTTATCTGTGTCAAGGGAGAGAGAGTGACAACCAGGAGCAAGAGTGCTTCCCCTCGCATGAGCTGATTAGTCTCAGTAGAGAGACGACTTCGACCAAGAGGTGACTGACCATTGAGGTGGCTGACCTGCTAGCACAGAGGCAGAAATCTCGGGTCTAATCTCATCTTTGATTGACATTCCTGACTTCTTCTGTCCGGAGCTAGAATTCTCCCATTGAAGGTGATTTCCACTCCTACAGCAGAGCAGGTAGAGCCGAGTAGAGCTGCCAGACAGAGTCGAGCAGAGCCGACAAGCAGAGCCGAGTAAAGAAGACAGCTGTCGCAGAGCAGAGCTGACAATGTAGAGCAGAGCAGACCGGCAGAGTAGAGAGCAGTGCAGACAGACAGAGCAGAGTAGACAGACAGTGTAGAGAGCAGAGCAGAAAGCCAGAGTAGAGATAGACAACTCAGAGTGTTGATTCTCAGTGTATCAAAGAGACATTTATTGAGTTGTTGAGCCATAAAGGCATTTGAGGACATTTTGTTATTTTATTGTTATATTATAGTGTTCAATAGATTATTAAAATCCGGTAATTGATTGTTTTGTACATTCCTGTGTTCTCCATCTCCTAGCTCAGTGGCAGCCGAAGCACCAAACCAGCTCGGCGCCCGTGAGAAACACCTCCGAATCCCTTATCATCGCCACCAGACCTTCTCCGAGGGAGTACGGGTACTCGGCGGGAGTCTGGCGCGGGACAATACATTATTATGGCTTGAGTAAAACATATTAGGTGTTTTCCAATGCTCAATTGGCTTTTTATGATCGTATGTAGGTTACATCTATATACCCCGAGGTCGATAGGCAATGTAGACCATGCCCTAACGACAAAAATAAACAAATTACTAAATATTGTGTAGTTTTGAATTTCAAACTCAACAGTTTTTCGCTTATTTCATGTTATTACCGGGCATCAACTTGCAAAGACCACGTTCAAAATATACATTACTGGAGAGGTTAAGCAAATACGGTTTTTCAAAACGTATACGTAAACGCAAAGTACATTGAATCAACATAGGATTGTATCGCTTTAGTCTACTTCAGATACCCGTTCAACTTCAAAGTTGCGTGTTTAGAACGGGAGATTTTAAAATTTCACGTTGCTATCAACGGGAATCATTATACTCATGTCTGTTGAATACTAATAGTATTCATTGCAATTTTGATTTCGATGCAGAGTATAATTCTTTCTGAAGAAGATGATGTATGTTACGCATGATTTAACTCCAATAATCTTACGAAACGAGCTCGTTTAAAATATGTATTATAAAACCAGCTATTGAACTTCATCAATGGGATACTATGTAATCATTACAAGCTATGGTGTAGTCTAAACAAACACTAGAGCTGAACGGGTATTTATGTGTGAACTCTACATGTATTTGTATAGGGCCGATTGATACGTTTAAGTTGCGTTTTTGATTTTATACGGTAGCTTAACCTCTCCAGTAAATGCATCACCGAATGCGATGCTTACATAAATCGTTCATTCTTTTATGTAGAAAATAATGCACCAACCTTAGTTTTCTGTTTCATCGCGGCCATTTTATTGGATAAATCATTGAACGTCATGCTATAGCAGGGTGTAATTACGATGTAACAAACTTGTCGGGTAATGCCTTGGTCACATTTGCTCCGATTTTCACTACGGCGCCCGGCCGATTGAGTTTTTTGTTCAAAATTGAATACGATTTTGAACAAAACACTCAATCGGCCGGGCGCCAGTCGATGGATCGGAGCAGCTACCCTTCTTCCAAAAGCCATTAGTATACAGGGAGTACAGTGCCCAGAGCAGCTACCTAGCTATGGCATCGCATGATTGGCCGCTCAACTCTCATCTTATTTAGTTAAACGAATATTAGACATTCTAGCACTTAGACTAATTTCACAATTGAATTTACGCATCAAGAATCTAACGAAAGGTGTATTTTACATCACATAATAGTTGGTAAAGGCTGTTGTTTTCGGCAAACGAATGACTGGGTTGA